CGAACCCCCTTCAAAAACCAAGGTTTTTTGTGATGTGGTGAGTTCATGGGTTCTATAAGGCGACATTCAAACGACAATGTCTTTGGCATGAAAGCTCACCTTTGCAGCATAGCAGATGCTGCACGGCATCGGCGATCCATGCGAGAGTGTGCAACTGATCTTGCCGCTCTCGGGGTAGTCGCACACCCAGGCGTACAGCAGGGGCCGCACGGTTTGCCAATCACCGAAAGGGTCCCTAAGACGGAACCCGCTGCAAGGAACAGGTAGAGTGGCAACAGGAATTGGGAGGACGGATTTGTGCATGTACGAAGAGGGGCAAAGGGGACTGCTACATATCGTGACGCCCTGCATACTATGCAGGTGATTGGGTGACGAGATAGCAAGATGCAACACCGGGTACGGACCTTTCCATGCCATCGAGAAGCGGCTGCAGCACGGTGGTGACGCATCGCTGGAAGAGCATCACCTTCTCCACGGCAGACATTGCAGAAGGGGGGAATAGGAAGGAGGGCAAGTAGCGTGTGGCCGGCTTTCCCCCATCGTTTGGCCTGGGAGATGTTGGCAAGCGTCATCATGAGCGGCCACGCCTTCTTCCGGCCGTTGTTGCTCATGTGCGTCACATCCGAATATAGGATGATTCCCCCCACGACTTCGGTCCATCCAAAGTGTTCCTGCAATGCACGACAAGGCGGCAACGGACACACGGTCAAACACCACCAAGGTAACTGGTCGCCAGGTGGATTAAACGACCTTCATAGCATGTTCATCGAACATGACACACTCATCATGCACCAGACACATCAGCGCAGCAACAGAGGCATGAGCACGGATCCGGTTTTGGGTGGCAACGGGGCATTTCCATACCTGAGCATCATTCCACCACGTTCCTGTTTCCGGCGTGGTATAGCGACGGTCGCCTGTGTCAGGGTCCTCATCGACCCGCGCCTTGAGCTTGAAGCCAGGCGCGTTGTTGGTATGCCCAAATAGTTCAGCGAATGCCTGATTTACGGTGGCGAAGGCAGTAGAGAAGAGGGGCATGGTTAGATGTGTTGATTGGTGGGTCCGATCTCATACAAGGATAACGAATATAACTTCATACAAGCACCACAAGGTTGCCGCATCAGCATTTCACTGCCAAGGATTCAGAGTCGGCTTACCTGAGCTGAGTTTTGAAATAGCAGGCGCTGAGGCGGATGACCGTCAATCTCGAATGTCGCCACCGACCATCCGCGATTGAGCCCTGCCAAGTGCTCCATCTCGAACTGCTCCAGATCCTTGCAGTTCCGGAGCTCCGAGGTCACAAGAGGCGCAAGGCCGGGCTCTACCACGAGCTGAAGCAAGCCATTGATGTCAACCTCCGCCATTCCCATTCCGCCATTCACGCGCCGAACGAAATGAAGCAGCTTCAACGCGAGTGGATTGAGGGGCGTGGCATCGCTCTATCCGGAGATGATTGTCGGTGGCGAGGCTTGACTCCCTTCAGGCTGGCTCTCAGGATGCTCACTCGTGTCAGCTGCAGGTGTTCCTGGTGGCGGTTGATGTTCATCTTCCGGAGCCCCCTCGTTAATAGCCGAGGGTGTTTCGTCTTCGTCAGCTTCAGGCACACGAGGAGGACCGCTCACACTGACGGTGTTGGATGCGTTGGACGCGGTAGGTGAAGCGGGAGCAGCGGGAGCGTCCGAGAGAATGTCGTGGACGAATAGCAGAGCGTGTAGACTGGCGGACGGTGTAGATCGCGAGGGCCTTGCCATGGCGGAAAGCCCTTGACAAGGGGTCCGCCGTGACTTATGACTCCCATAAACTTGGGCGTTGGGGAAGCATCTGTTTCAGAACTCGCAGACAACGCCTGGCAAAGAGCCCATGTGTTACGGATCCATCTAAGAGTGGAGAAATGGCCTATGAAGCAACTAGCCTGTTTGAAGTTTGTGAACGCATTAAATACACCGTCAACGAAGGCTGTGACTGCAACACGATCATCGCCAAAGCGCGAACTCTCCATGGCGGCTTGTATCTCTGCACGACTGGCACTTGAGCGTGGCGCGATGGTTAGGGACTGTCCGTCTATGGTCGAGCAGCGCGGCCGTGAAAAGGCACGATACAGACCGCCAACAGCACGGCATTTCCCTTTCCTACAAGGCGTGTCGCCCCCTCTTAGAGCGACCACGACGTGAGCAGGGCCATATGCACTGGAGTTTAGCACGCTTGATCGTGAGTGTGCGTCGCGAGCACGGTGAGAAGTACGTGCCTCTTGATTCAAAACTTGGGTTTTTGAATCGTGCGTGAGTCGAGGGGGATGAGGAAGAGAGGGAAGAGATCCGTTTGGTGCTGTGATTCTTTCGAGAGTAGCTATAGGGGGAAATCGCAATCACGTAGGTGAGCCCAAAGTGGTGCGCACCTCTAGAGACTTAATCCAAACCAGGTAATGACAATGTACAGTTACATTTTACATAGACACTCAATTCAATTATAATTAGTATTATACAAACATACTTATGGGCCTGCACAAAAACAACCCCTAATTGACAACGGTAGTGTTTGTAAACCCTCCTAGTTCTCTAGTGTGGTATAGAAACATACGGGTATTACCCATGAACTCCGTGTGTTTCCGTAAGATTGTTGCATGTACCGAATATGTATATCGTCACTTCACAAGAGTTTTTGGGGACCTCAAAGAACCGTCCTGAATAAACATGCAAGAATGGAGCCCAATCTAATACAATAACACAACGGTTTCAACGTCGGATGCAATACCACAACGGTTTCACCATGACATGCAACACATGGGACTGAACGATGCAGCGTCGCCCTGTATAAGCATGGCTGTCGATAACGCATCACCGCTTGTGCGTTAGCCCTGTGCTTCATACCACTCCCTTTATGCACCTTGTATAAGGTCATGCAAGAATTGAGCCCAATCCAACACCATACCACAACGGTTTCACCATGACATGCAACATATGGGACTGAACGATGCAATGTCGCCCTGTATAAGCATGGCTGTCGATAACGCATCACCGCTTGTGCGTTAGCCCTGTGCTTCATACCACTCCCTTTATGCACCTTGTATAAGGTCCATGCAAGAATTGAGCCCAATCCAACACCATACCACAACGGTTTCACCATGACATGCAACACATGGGCCTGAACGATGCAGCGTCGCCCTGTATAAGCATGGCTGTCGATAATGCATCACCGCTTGTGCGTTAGCCCTGTGCTTCATACCACTCCCTTTATGCACCTTGCATAAGGTCCATGCAAGAATTGAGCCCAATCCAACACCATACCACAACGGTTTCACCATGACATGCAACACATGGGACTGAACGATGCAGCGTCGCCCTGTATAAGCATGGCTATCGATAATGCATCACCGCTTGTGCGTTAGCCCTGTGCTTCATACCACTCCCTTTATGCACCTTGTATAAGGTCCATGCAAGAATTGAGCCCAATCCAACACCATACCACAACGATTTCACCATGACATGCAACACATAGGCCTGAACGATGCAGTGTCGCCCTGTATAAGCATGGCTGTTGATAACGCATCACCGCTTGTGCGTTAGCCCTGTGCTTCATACCACACCCTTTATGCACCTTTTATAAGGTCCATGCAAGTATTGAGCACAATCCAACACCATACCACAACGGTTTCACCATGTCGCACAACACATGGGCCTGAACGATGCAGCGTCGCCCTGTCTAAACATGGCTGTCGATAATGCATCACCGCTTGTGCGTTAGCCCTGTGCTTCATACCACACCCTTTGTGCACCTTTTATAAGGTCCATGCAAGTGTTGAGCACAATCCAACACCATACCACAACGGTTTCACCATGTTGCGCAAAACATGGGCCTGTACGATGCAGCATCGCCCTGTCTAAACATGGCTGTCGATAATGCATCACCGCTTGTGTGTTAGCCCTGTGCACCATACCACACCCTTTATGCACCTTTTATAAGGTCCATGCAAGTATTGAGCACAATCCAACACCATACCACAACGGTTTCACCATGTCGCACAACACATGGCCTGAACGATGCAACATCGCCCTGTCTAAACATGGCTGTCGATAATGCATCACCGCTTCTGCGTTAGCCCTGTGCTTCATACAACTCCCTTTATGCACCTTGTATAAGGTCCATGCAAGTATTGAGCACAATCCAACACCATACCACAACTGTTTCTCGTTTGCCACTAGTGATCGTCGTGTTAGAACTTCGTACAGTGACGCGTAACCGTTGTGGCATAGCCTAATACTGCTTAGTTCAATTGTATGAAGTAATACTTCTGGACGCTCTTTGTGTGTGTGACATGATACAAACCCACTACCTTACCACAACCCCATACTACTACATTAGCAACCACTTTTTTGTTGATTGTATTTGTTGTAGTTTAAAAAAAAAAATAGCTCGTATGTGCAACATTGTTCGTTCGCGACATCACTGTACTTTGCAGGGTTTAGGTTGCATTCGCTCAATTGGTTCAAAAACTGTTCTAGCATGACAAGTGATTGATGCGTTGGCAACACTGATTGGCCGACGCATCTCAAACGACCCCTCCCGCAACACAAGCACCCGCCAAGCGGTACTTCCGCCATTGAGCGGCTGTGATCGAGCAGTGGGTGGGTTTATGATCGGGTGGCTACACGTACACCGTCCGATCTAGCCTGATCTGATTACAGTAATCTCTCTAGTCTCGCAAGCCACCCCAACCACCCTCGTGCCCCACCCACCTGCTTCCGTCACCCTCTGGCCCACAACTTTGACGCTGCTCGCTGTTTGACACAGGCGTTTCCAGATCGCCCGTGACTCACCAGTCGACTAAGTCATGGGCCGTAGCTCTTAGTGACTACTATTTCAGTATTGATTGAAGCGGAGGTTTTCGGAGAGAGATGACAGAATAGACCGTCGATTCTCCCTTCGTTACATTCATTTGCGGTTCCCCTTCGAAACCGGCTCCACCGATCTGCCTTGTAGAAATTCGCATTCGTAATACAACCATGACACGTGAAACACGGCAAAAAGAAAAGGAGGAGGAACAGGCCGGACGTCGCGCGACAAGGAGGCTGTCTCAACAGACCGATAGGGAGGGTGGTGGCGGCTCTAAAGGTACTAATGCGTCCGCCGCGCGTGGCAGAGGGCTGAAAAAACTGGCGGGAAAAAAGGCCGCGTTTGGACAGGAGAATTCCGGCAAGAAGGCGGAAGAGAAGGGGAAGCAACCAACGCGCCACGTAAGCGTGTTTCTACCGTGAAAAAAGATGCGGATGTTGCCTCTGGTGGAACCGATCCCGGTCCGACTAACGACGGCACAATCGGCGGCAAAGAAGATCCGGGGCGAGGGAGCGTGAGTCTTGCAGTCCCGTCAGCGGAGAGAGAGGGGTCGGCGACAAGGGGAAACCACGGCGACGCTCCCCGCGCCGAGCATGCCGCAACCCAGGAGTCCGAGGCGGAGGCATCCCAACACGGACTGACGCTGCTCCAGCCGACCGTGGTCGAAATTTCTGCTGCCGTGGTGGATAAGGCCAAGGCGGGGGAGCACGATTCGATGGCAACACAGCATCGCCGACGTAGGTGGCTCTCCTCCTTCTGGAGGACGTGGGAGGCGTAGGCAGAGGAAGAGCGATGAGGAAGAAGAGTATGACACCGCCGTGCCCGTAGACATCAATACGCGGTCGAAGAGGCGGCAGACAATAGGCAGTGCTGACGACGCCGGTGGTGCGGAAGTTGGGACAACGCGAGGCGCCAGGGAAGCAAGTGGCAAGGCGACGGGTCATGCATTGCGCAAGAAGGGCCGACCCGCAGCGAGGAGAACATCTGGCGGAAGGAGGGGCAAGAAAGCAGCGAGGGGGAAGAGGTCGAAACGGGGCGAAGAAGACCCTGATGATGCGGAGGAGGAGGATGAGGGGGATACGGGGGATGAGGAGGAGGAGGCTGATGAGGAGGAGGATGCGGAGGAAGAGGAGGATGAAGAGGATGCGGAGGAGGAGGACGCGGATGTTGGGGAGGAAGAAAAAGATGAGAATGATGACGAGGACGACGAAGAGGAGGAGGAGGACGAGGACGAGGAGGGGGGCGACGAGGATGATGAGGAGGAGGAGGAGGAGGAGGAGGAGGAGGAGGAGGAGGAGGAGGAGGAGGAGGAGGAGGAGGAGGAGGAGGAGGAGAGGGACGACGAGGATGAGGAGGAGGAGGAGGAGGAGGAGGAGGAGGAGGAGGAGGAGGAGGAGGAGGAGGAGGAGGAGGAGGAGGAGGAGGAGGAGGAGGAGGATGTGGCGGCAGTGAAAGGACGGGGCGGGCGAGGCAGACGGGGGAGTGGTACAGGGAAGGTGGGGGGCCGGACTCGCCATTCACGAAAACGCGGGGCGGGTGACGCCCCGCGTGGCGAAGCAGCGGGCAAACCGAAGACGCGTAAAGTGAAGGTCGAAAGTGAAGGGGTTGGTAAAAAGCAAGGGAGCCAGGGATCGAAAGGGGATGGTGAAGGAAAGGGCGGCCGCGCCAAAGGGGTTCCAGTGGGTTCCGGCAAGAAAGAACCAGCCGGTAAACGTCGCAGCGGCCGCCAAAGCACCTCGCGGAAAGGTGGCAACGAGAAGGCGCAGGCAACAAAAAAACCGAAGGGACAGCAGAAAGGTAAGCACTGTGGCCCATACACATGGCGTGACTGCTGAACTCTCTGCTCAACCGTGCCAATTAACACATTTCTTCACATTGTTTCTCCCCTGCAGGGAAGGAGAAGGTCGACGAATCTGCAAAGCAAGGTAAGGCTTCTTGTTACAAAACAGTACCCGTTATAACCCGATTAAGATTCAAACCGCTGATCGTATGCAAGCATGTGTGCCCCTGTATTGAAACTAATCGACTCTAATTGTGTGCTCCTGCTCCCTATAAATCTCAGCCCCTCGTGTTACAGACATTGGGCCACCGGTAAGCGTGCAACGGATGCAGCTAATGAAGGGGGCCGGAAGAGCGAGTGTTACCCCGCTATCCACAGGAGCCCCAAGGTTCTACACGCCATACTCCGGCCCGTCTAAAGTCGCTGCCAGGGCACCCGGCGCACCAAGAGGAGAGGAATCCGAATCCCCTCCACCAGGCCATGTCACGCACTCCCCACTCGCCTCACCCTCATACCCATATCGGCAGCTCCACGCTTCTCCTGTCCGGGGCAGGGCCGTCTCTCCCCTCGCCGGTCCTTCGCGCGGGCAAGGGCCAAGCACTTCTGCAAATCCCTTCCCTGAGCTGCCCTTTTCCCACCAGCGTGATAGTGTGAGGGCACACGGGACTGCTGCAGAAGACGTTGATCCCCTTGGCCAGAGGGGGGATTCTTCACACTCTTTTCCCCCGCTCTTGGGTGCCCTAGGTGAAAGTGCGGAGCACGAGCAGTTTTTTACTCGGGAGGAGTTCCAGGCGCTATGGTCTGAGATGTACGCCATGTTTGCTCAGCTCGGCCTGCGTCATGGAGCACCTGCCAGTTATGCCGGGGGGTCCGCAGTGGTGCCTATGAAAGGTACCCCGCCGCCGATGAGTGCCGTCGACAAGGCACGAGTGCTAGTGTTGCAGGAGACAAACCCATTCCCGGTATGTGGCGGGCCAAATGGGGCGGGTTGGGGTTGACGTGGCAACCAGGGCGGGGTTGGGGATGACGTGGCGGTTTTGGAGGGTATAAGGGAGCGGCGCATGATGAGGCGAGGCGTGTTAGGTGGGTGGGGGGTGACGTGGCTTGGGGTGGGGGAGGGTGACGTGGCAAGTGGGGCGGGTTGTTGGTGGACGTGGCGGATGCAGGAGGGTGTGACGTGGCGGAAGGTGAGGGTTGGGGATGACGTGGCGGATGCAGGAGGTTGTGACGTGGCGGAAGGTGCGGGTTGGGGATGACGTGGCGGTTGGGATGGGTGCAAGGGAGCGGCGCATGACGAGACGAGGCGTTTAAGGTGAGGGTTGGGGATGACGTGGCTTGGGGTGGGGGGGTGTGACGTGGCAAGTGGGGCGGGTTGTTGGTGGACGTGGCGGATGCAGGAGGGTGTGACGTGGCGGAAGGTGAGGGTTGGGGATGACGTGGCGGTTTGAAAGGGTACACGTGAGCGGCGCATGACGAAGCGAGGCGTGTCAGGTGGGTGGGGGGTGACGTGGCTTGTGGTAGGGGGGTGTGACGTGGCAAGTGGGGCGGGTTGTTGGTGGACGTGGCGGATGCAAGAGGGTGTGACGTGGCGGAAGGTGAGGGTTGGGGATGACGTGGCGGTTTGAAAGGGTACACGTGAGCGGCGCATGACGAAGCGAGGCGTGTCAGGTGGGTGGGGGGTGACGTGGCTTGTGGTAGGGGGGTGTGACGTGGCAAGTGGGGCGGGTTGTTGGTGGACGTGGCGGATGGCGCAGGGTGTGACGTGGCAAGTTCACACAGTGTTGCTAGTCACCATCCCCTGGTCACGCGGCCACCCTCATAACTGCTGGTTTCTCTCTCCCATGTCGTGATGTATACCCTACACCCCTGCGCAGAACAAAGCCTACTTAGTGTGCTCTCAGCTCATGTTTCTGAACCCGCCGGAGAAAATACAGTACTACCCTGCACCGGAGGAAGTGTTCGACGCGTTCTCTGTCCACTTGTCTGCGGAAGGGCTCGAGGCAATGAAGCTGCTGTGGTTGCACAATGACAAGTCAACCATGGGAGTCTTCAACCACCAGCTGTCCTCAACAAGGTCAATTATCAACTCCAACCTCAGGCCAGCAGCATACACCGGCATGGGCCTTGCCGTTTACAGCCATCTCGTGGATAGCCTGCCCACTGAGCTACACCCAACAACCTGGTTCGACGACGATCATCTCCTAGCCGAGTACAGAGATGGTATGTGCAACTCGAAAACACCATATGCCCTACCATATGCCAGTTGGCAGCTACATATCACCGTGCGATGTGGCTCACCCTGACTCTCATCCCCCCACTTGATTTCTCTACAAAACCCTTTCCAACCCATACCCTCCCTGCCAAAATGCAGAACAGTGGGCCCTAAACTGGCACTTTGACAAGGCCACCGGGACGCCCTTCAGCAACCCCTTGTTCGCTTATGCGTTCAAGCTCTCCTTCAAGAGGGGCGGGGCGGTGTTCACCAAGTTCAAGAGCCGCATGGTGGCATGGGACCTGTTTTCGGTAAGGATGTAGATATGTGTTTGTACCCCCATGCCTCATCCCCTTAACCCCTTGCCTGTACTTCAGCTAAATCCGTGGTCGATCAAGCCTTTGCAGTTACGTAGATAGTGACGACTGAATCACCGCTTTCAGTTGGCTCATTTACCCGTAACCCACCCTCCTCATAAACCATCCACACAACCCTACACCACATTGCAGATCGAATGGCCCCTTCTGCAGGATAAGCGTCGCAAGCGAATCAGTAGCCAGCCGGAACAGAACAGGCCAGACTACCAGGAGTGGTGCGAAAAGTTCAAACAGATGATCCACTTTGCTGTCGTGGAGCGGAGGATCCCCCACGATCCGGCTATGAGGGCGATGGCGACCTTGGAGATGTCGTCCTTGCCCACCGGGCGCTTTCAAGGCCCGCCAGTGCGTAGGCTATTTGACCTGGTGCTAAGACTGCTTGTTGCTAGAATGCTGAATAATGGTTGCTGTAAACCGCAATAATAAATGCAATTTTGAAATCCTCAATATCCAAAATGAACAAAAACAGAATTTAGTTTTGAATAATTTGGTCACGAATTTGCACCAAAACGGATTGCGCCCGAATGTCATCCGGAAAAGCTCGCGTGCCAAATTGGAACTTGAACCGAGCCAAACCTTGTCGCGAGATGTGTCTCGGAGCTCCTATCAAATGACTCCAACCGTCGGTCCAAATTGGCTCCGGATTTTTTTACGCGAAGACAATCGAAATCAAAATTCGTCCAAACTTGGCATAGGGTTTTTGTGATGGACAAACCTGACCGAGCTCTAGAATTTTTTGGGGTTCGTCAACAACGTGCTTCGGTTCGTCTCCGACATAAAAACTCCATCATGTCCTATAAAAACTCGCACTTAGATGCTTTCGTCAGTAATTGGTACTCATGCTTTTGCCAGTAATTGGTGCTCAGCTAAAATCTTGAAAACCGCTTCGATGTCCTGTAAGTGTTAAGTTCAGTCGGGGTTGTAAATCACTATGTTGTCTGAGTACACGATGACGCACTTATGCAATAGTGGGCAGAAATAGTCGTCCATGGTCATTTGAAAAGTGGCGGGGATGTTGTTCAGTCCGAAAGGCATCAAGGTGCATTCGAATGAACCGTAGCGGGTGCGAAAGGCGGTTTTCTCACAGTCGGGTAGGTCGACACGAACCTGGTAGTAACCTCCTCGGAGGTCGATTGGTTTGTCGGCTCGGGGTGTGGGGTAACAGGACTTGATGGTAACCCTGTTCATTGCCCGGTAGTCAATACACATGCGAAACCCTCCGTCGTTTTTCGGTGTGAACAATATTGGTGCTGCAAATGGTGACGAGCTCGGAGAATGATTTTTTTCTTGAGCATGTAGTCCAACTGCTTCCGCATTTAGTCGATTTCGGGTTGTGTCAGTTGGAACTGTCGCTATACTGTTGGCTGTGCCCCGGGATTTTATTGTATGCTATGGTCGTGTGGTCACTGGGGTGGCAGCCCCTCAGGAAGTTCGTCCAAAATATCTCCCGGTACCGTTTTAGAATTCCTGACAGGTCATTTGTATGGCGAGTTGTTTCTGCAAATCACTCAGCTTCTCTACTGCCTAGGCTTCGCGGACGTCAACAGTGTACACGCCAGCTCGTGCCGCTACCGCGATTTTCATTGTGATGGCGTTGACTCGAACTGGCGAAGCCCAGGCAAGCTCCAGCGAGGTAGGGTGATGTCGTTGCCGTTGACTCGCACGCTGCAGTCACCTGTCATCCACTCTATCCGCGGGTAATGTCGCTGCAGCCAATCACGTACGAGAAGAATGTCGGCCCCCGAGTGTCGTTGCCAATGGGTAAAAGCGAAGTTACTCTCGCAATGAATCCGAACTCGGTCCACGCGTTCGTGTATTGCCAGTGGCATGCCGTCGACCAGTCTTGCGTCTATCTCAGGTAAACATCGGTTCAGGGGCAATTGCGGGTTTCTAGAAGTTGCGGTGTTAATCAAGTTGTGGCTAGCTCCTCCGTCAACAAATATTTATCTAAGTATGTGTGTATTTTCTCTCTGAGCAGTATGGGGCCGTCTACCGGTGTACCCTCCTTATTTAGCCCGGTATGATCGACTGCGTGAACCGGTTTTGTCACTCGGTGAGGGTCGATTGGGTTGGGCAAACGACGAGTCTCGTCAGTAGAGGGCCCATCTGCTACTGACTCCCTGCCTTTCCCTGCTGCTTAGACTCCTTCTGCTGCTCGGCTCCCATGCCCCTCTTCTCCTCTGGACATTCGCTTTTGCGGTGCTCGGGCCTGTTGCACGCGAAGCAGCGTCCCTTAAATGGTGTGACAGCGACATTCGCGGCGACGGCGCATACCGTGGCGGGCTCAGTTGTCCCACGAGTCTGGTGTCTGTTATAGGACCCCATCATCGACCGGCGCAGCAAATCCATCTTCTCCGCCATTGCGAGGATGTCGTTGAAATTGGTGACGCCGCGAAGCATTTTTTCTTACGAAAATTTCAGGCTTTAAATCCACCAATGTAGCGATCGACGCACTCCGCCTCATGCATGTAGCCCACTTGCTCACACTACGCCAGGAATATGCTCGTGGAAACTGGACTGAACCGAGTTGACGCCAAGTGCGCAGCTTCTGACGCGTCGAAATAGATGCCGCGATTGGCTCGAATCTCTCGCGCTGACCTCTAGACCACGAGTCCCACGTGCGGTATTGGTTTACTTCGCAATACGATGGTGCCTAACGGATCGTGGGTCCGGAAGGTCCCTCTCTTTGCGGCAGTGGCTCGTAGTCGCTCGACATAGTGACGATG